TCAAATCATCTTCTGAGTTGATTACAATCAGGTTTGTAAATGAAATACTTATAAGCGCTTTTGATTTAAATGTTAATGTTTCTTATTTTAAATTTCCCTCTGACTTCTTAGAAGATGGATAATATGTCAAATTAGTAGCACATGTTTACATTCTTAGCTCTAAAGCTAAACAAAGACAGTTTGCTCTTTCATAAATCTGTCATTAGACAAACATTGATTGCCAGGTGCTAGATGCCAGGAATACAAGGTAAAAAAGACCCAGTCCTTGCCCCCAAGAAGCTCCCAGCCCAGTGATGTGCAGAAATGTGAACACATAGTTGTTGGTGTAAACATTTTTGGGATGTTTCACTCAGCAAACCATTGAACTTTGCTTCATGAAGTCAGTATGCATTTCTTGCTACTAGGGTCTACGAGTTATCCCAATGCCCTTCCAATAACTTGGCTTTTTTCTTAACACAGCTTGAAATGGGTTGCTACTGCTTGTAATGCAAAAGAACCTTTTTTGGAAGGGATTTCTAAATATAGTGTAATAATAGAGGCATAGACTAGGAAAAGAGGTTTGAAGGTTAGGAAGAACCTAACAGACCTGGGTCCTAGGAAGGAAAAGGCCTCTACCACTCTCAAAAATGCTCTCACTAGGCACCTGCAGGGTCCCTACCTTGACAGAGATAGGAATCAGAGTTACAAATCACTAAAATAAAACTCATATTGAGAATATATGCTATCTGATTTTTGCCCTATAGTTTAAGCCATCATCTATAAACAGAGCAAAATGGATTCTTTGGACAAATACTAAATAGCACACTCAGTTTGAAAGAGAGAATTGTATACAACTACTCAGCAAAAATCCAAGATATTGTTTGCTAAATAATTAACACAAATTTGGAAATTTTAACTTAAAATCTAAGTAAGTTTTAAAATTCATAGCCACGTGTGCACATTATTCCATATATGAAGAATGACCATATCTATAAACTGGTTACAGATTCATTTACTTGGGTGATCTTCATAATCAGTAATGACTGCTAAAAACAACAAAATCATAAAGTAATGGTTTAAATCAGTGGAAAAATTATTCCTTTCTATAACCCCTCACTTCTTTTCTTCATCTCTTCCTCCATTTCCTCATCCTTCTTTTTCTCTCTTGTTCATCTTTCAACTTAAATATCTTGTTTTACTATATTTAAAGTTCTTTAAGCAATAAAGTCTTAATAGTATAAAATAATCAAAAATTTTCACATTTACTTTTACAGTTTTTAAATTTATATAATAATTTACATATTACATTTAAATAATCTAGAAATAATCCCAGTGAATTTTCATTTTACTGTGAAATGCAAAGGCTGAAAGACTGACCTCCAGCCATTCCCAATCACCAAAGATCAATTGATCTCCACTGAACTCAGACACCACTGATCTGGCCTGTCTATCAGATTCTTAAACCTCTCCTGAGAATGAGATTCTAAAACTTAATACTCCATTGAGAGAATAAAAGTCTTTCTTTTCCTAGTGAAAAAAAAAAATTACCTTTCATTTCTTATTACTCAAATGTCCCTACTGAAATAGAAGCCTATTTTCTTTTGTTTGGTCATCAGCAAAATTAGAGAACACCTGGAGAATAATTTTTATTTGCATATTAAAATGAGAACTCCCAGGACCTTCACCAAGGGCATCAAAAAACAGCATTGTCAAGTCCCCCTAGATATTACACAGAGGTTTAATTATAATAACAAGATTTTAAAGATCGGGACTGAATATTAGCAAGATTATATGGCACTACATAGATATTTCTTTAGTTCCACTTTGGAATAGATATGAGAGGCAATAATCACTGTACCAAAAAAGTAGCTACATTGAGAGGATAAGAGATCTCATTTATTTTGGATAGAGTAAAAAGTGTGTTTAATAATGTAGTCAGGTAAAATGAAGTACTCAACATTCATCACTAGTAGTTATACGGAGCATATAATCATTGGTCTTACCTTTATTGATGCTTCTTTCTCACTTATAGCTGTTATTTTAACTTGTCGCATTTTCATAGCAACTAATGCCTCCATTTTTATAGTTAAAGCACTAGGAATCATTGCTAACTTTTCTAAATGCTCCAAAAGCAATTGTCAACATTGTTAAGACCTTTGGTTGTTCTTCCTAAAAAGCTAACTTCTTTCCCATACAGGACAAAGAATTTGCAACGCCCTTGACCTAAATCTCCTCATCAACTGATCTAATTTATGAAGACCAATCTTCCTTCTTAGTTGGGGCCGGGGGGCGGGGGAGGGTTACTCTGAGAAAAGTCAAATACCCTACTGCCCCATCTGAGTGCTAAATCAACAGAAGTAAAACAAGGGGTAAGACAAGTGGAGACGCAAATACCACCTTTATTACTGTGAAAGGCCAGGATGGAGGGAAAAGTTTAGTTCAGGAGCAAAATCCCCAGAAGATGGACATGGCAGACTATCTGAGCAGCAATGGACTCTCAAGGAGAAGAGAAGGCTGCGCCAGAAGAAACAGGAGAAATGTGTGCTGTGTGGGCAAGCTGGGTCCCCAAAAGGAGAAAAGGAAGAGCTGAACATGCCTAGACTATTTTTCCTAAATTTACCACAGATGTCACTCCTACTCACCTGGCTTGGAATGAGTAAACTGGCAAAGTTACACTAATTTAACTCTTTTGACTTGGAGATACTAGGAAAGGGGGAATCATCTTCTTCCTACCCTCACTCCTCAAACATTTTAAGAACTACCAAGCAGGATTCTTTGATGACAAAGTATCTATTGGTTTTCATATACCTCTAATAACCCATGGATATATCAGGCTACAAATTATAATAGGAATACTTTAATCTTAACAACTAACCCCCTTAGTTTCCCTGGTGTTTTGCCAGCAAATTATTGTCCATCAATTTTGTGCCTTATTTATTTAACATTCATTAAAAATTTTTTTCCTAAACTCCTTAAAAATCCAAGTTCCACTTTATAACTAATCTGAAAATCAACAAATATGTTCTGGGTAAGCAAGTTAATTTTTTTAAGCCTTAATTTTCTCTTTGTAAAATGGGTTTAATAACAGCACTACCATATAGGAGTTGTTTTGAGGATTAAAAGAAATTATGCATATGAAGTCCTATGCCCAAAACCTAAATAGTATTCATACCAGTTAGAGGTAGTAGTAATGGTGGTGATTATGATGTCAATAAAAGAGAGATGTCATAAGATTCAAAGTATAATATGGAGTTAGATCATGATGGAAATATTGACATCATGATCTAACTCCATATTATACTTTGAATCTTATGACATCTCTCTGTCTCCAATGCTACTACCACGATCTCACACCTATGCTATTGCAAGTATCCCCTCCTCGGATAACTTGAATCCTCTCTTTCCTTTCTACAGCACCATTCCATAGCAGGCACAGGGATTTTTTTTTAAATGTAGATCAGACCTTATCACTCTCTTACTTGAAGCCCTCCAATGTCTTCTCATCACATTCATAATGAAATCCAAACTCCTTATCCTGGCCTATAGGTTGGGCATGAGCTGGCCCTGCCCACCTCTCTAACTTCTCCTTCCTCTATTTTCCCACTGGCTCACTACTCTTCAACCATGGCAGCCTTCTTTTAGGGGGTCCTTTCAGAAAATTTACAGTCCAAGAGCCAAGGAAATTCTTTGTCCTTTCAGGCTCCAAATTAAGTAATAAATTCTTTACCGGGAAATGAAAAAAGCTTAAAGCTCCAAAAATTAAACTTAAATCCTTTTATTTTTCCTTTTCTTACCTGTAGCAATCAAAATCCTTGGTTTATAACACACGCTCGTTGTAAATCATGACTAATGGTTCATGCTTTGTTTGTTTGTTTGTTTTTATAATATAATAATTAAACCTACTACCCAAAGTAAACACAATCCAACATCTAACTATGATCCCCATTCTCTCCATCCAATGTCACTATTGTCCTGAATATAGGATACAGAAGACCTGAACAGCACTATCAACCACCTTTGGCTAATTAATACATATAGAGCATTCTTGCTAACATCAGCAGAAAATACTTTCTTTCCAAGTGTACATGGAAAATTCACCAAGAGTGGCTATATTCTGGGCCATAAAGCAAACCTCAACAATTTTCTTCAAAACTGAAATTAAAAACGTATGTTCTTAGAACATAATGGAATTAAACTAGAAATAAACAACATAGATATCTAGAAAATCCCCAAATATTTGGAAATTAAGTTAACACAATTCTAAATAATCCATGGGTCAAGAAGGAAATAAAAAATTAAATTAGTAAATGTTTTAAATTGAATTAAAACTAAAATATAACATACTAAAACTCATAGCATACAGTTCAAGCAGTGCTTAAAAGGATATTTATACCATTAAATTTATCAGAAAAGAACAGAGGTCTCAAATCAATGACCTAAGCTTCCACTTAAAGAAACTAGTAAAAGAGCAAATGTAAATCCAAAACAAGCACAAGAAAGTAAATAATAAAGATAAGACCACATAAGAAATCAATGAAATTGAAAACAGAAAAACAGTAGAGAAAATCAGTGAACCCAAAAGCTAGTTCTCTGAACAGATTGATAAGATTAATAAACTTCTAGCTGACCGAGAAAAAAAAAGAGAAGACAATTTACCAAAATCAGAAATGGAAGACGAGACATCATTATAAATCTACAGATATTAAAAAGATTATAAAGAAATATTACAAACAACTTTATGTCCATCAATTTCACAAATTAGAGGAAATAGACAAATTCTTTGGAAGGCACACATTACCAAAGTTCACTCAAGGATAAATTAATAACCTGTATAATACTACATTTACTAAAGAAATTGAATTCATAGTTAAAAACCTTCCAATAACAAATACACAAATACACACACACACACACACACACACACACACACACATATTCATGCATGACAGGTCATAACACCTTTATTGAACAATTTTGAAAACTTAAGATGAAATAAGTCGAGTGCTAGAAAAATCACTTACCAGATCTGACTCAAGAAGAAATCACAGTTCTATGAATGGTTCTGTAACTATTAAAGAGATTTAGTCTATAGTTAATAATATATCCCACAGAAAAAATAAAATAAAAACAACAACAAAATATCAGGCGCAGATGGTTTTACTAAACTTCCAAGGAAACAAATCCCAATTTTTTACATGAACACTTCCTGTGAATATCAGTTCAGTTCCTAACTTGTCTCTTTGCTTTCTTTCAGTTGTTTTATAGGACAGGGGTTTTTAATATGGTCAAATTTATCATTCCATTCTTCTTATCTTGTTCACAAATATTTCTTTTCCCAAGTTCAAGAAGATATTAACCTTTGCTGACTACTAAGAACTTAAAATTTTTGTTGTTGACATTTAGGCCTTCAATCCCATCTGGAGTTAATTTTTGTTTTTAACTTGAGATGGTGAGCCAATTTAATTGGGGTAAAAACTTTTTGTGCAGCTCCATCTGTTTAACAGTCCTAGTCCTCCCTTAACATATTGATCTGACTTCTCACTCTGTCATTTAATAATATTCTATACTCAGTTCAGTCTCTTGCTGGGCTCTCTATTCTATTCATTGGTCAATCCATCTACTTCATAACTAATACTTCACTATCTTAATTAGTTTCACAGAAATTTCTCCTACCTGACAGGGCCAGGTTTTCAAAGTCCTCTGGCTATCCTAGGCTCTTTATTCCTCCAGCTTCAATCTCATGGTTAACTTAATCTTTTCTTTCCAATCACTCTCAATTCCCATGCCCTTCCTCCGTCACATTCACGAGACTAGATTCCACCCAAGTAAGCTCTGTTAAAGCTCAACTCTCCACCAACTTAGTCACTACACTGAATGAATCTGAAGAATACACAAAACCATGCTGACTGATGTAATTTCCTATTTTCAAAGGGGTCCTCAGAACTGTTCAATACTCCTACATGCTTTTGTCAACCTATATTCCCACACTTTTAGATTAGGGGGCAAAACATATGTTGAAACCTAGTCCCTAACATGATGGTGTTAGTAGGTGGGGCCTTTCAGAGGTGATTAGGTCATGAGCCCTCATGAATGGGATCAGAGACCCCAACATGTCAATTATATCTCAATAAAATTTGAAAAAAAAAACAAAAACAAAATAAAAACCAAAAATAAATGAGACCCCAAAGAGGTGCCTTGGCCCTTCTGCCATTTGAGGTTATAGCAATAAGAAAGCAATCTATGAACAAGGAAATGAGTTCTCACCAGACATTGAATCTGCCAGCACCTTGATTTTGGACTTCCCAGTATCAGAACTGTGAGAAATGAATTTCTGTAGTTTATACACCACCTAGTCTAAGGTAATTTGTTATAGTAGCCCAAATGGACTAAGACAGTGTTCCTCAGAAAAACAGGGGTACTGAAAGTATCTACCTTTTAGTGTTATGAGAATTAAAGGAGTTAATAAATGTAAGGCATCTAAAATAGTATGTGGTACAAAGTTAGTACTATTTAAGTTGAGTAGTTATCTTGTATTATGATTTCACATCCTACCTTCTAGTCTCAAACTTTTCTCTACTCTTTCTCTTCACTGATGACCCCGCTTATTTCATTGAGCAAATAGCAGTTAAAAGAGAAGTTCCACATCTTCTCAACAACGAATCTTCCAATTTACTTGCAGTTGTAGCCCTATACGCTGCCTTTATTACTATAGAGAAATTATTACTATTTCCAAGATCAATTCCTCCACTTGGGCATCCCTCTAGTCTACACAAGGACTTGCTTGCGTAATTATCCTCTTTCTCTAATGAATTATCCGTTTTTTTCTTCTCTACTTGGAACAATCCCATCAGGATACAAAAATGTCATAAAATCTGCCATCATAAATAAACCCATCCTCATCTGTTTTGCTTCACATCCCCCACCAGATATAGCCCCCACATCCCCCTCCAGATATAGCCCCTTTCCTCTGGATAGTATAGAAAAATTCCTTGCAAAAACTGTCTATAGTTGTTGTCTACACTTCCTTCTCTCCCATACTCTATTGGCTCCAATCAGGCTTACATCTTCACTCCATGGGATCCCCACTTAACCAAGTCACCAATAACCTCCACATTGCCAAACCCAAAACACAAATCTCAGTCCTCATCTTACCCTCCTTTCACACTTGCTCACTTCCACATTCTTCACTTGGCTTTGGTTAAAGTACAGCATTGGCCACTTCTTCTCAGTCTGTTTTGCCAGCACTGGCCACTCCTTCTCATCTGTTTTGCTTCACTTGCTTCTCTTTCATATACTAAGTTTTGGTGCACTCACAGCTCAGCCTCCAGCCTTTCTACCTACAGTCATCTCCTAAGTGATCTCACTCAGAGTCATGGCTTTCAATGCTATGTATTCACTGGTGACTCCCTTGATCTCCACATGCATATAAACAACTGCACATTTCACATCCCTACCAGAATGTCTAACAGGCATCTCAAACTTAACGCATTCATAACAGAACTCTTAATTTCCCCTTCTAAATCTGCACTTCTCCCAGTATTTACCAGTCAATAAATAACACAAGTCACACAATTGTGCAGTTTGAAAATCATAATTAACTCCTCTCTCACATCCTACATTCCTTAGCAAATCCTGTTGGCTCTATCATCAAACATTGTATCTAATCTAACCACTTTTTAGCTCCTCCACCCAGAGTTCAAGCCATCATCATCTTTCAACTGGACTACTACAACACCCTCCTAACTGGCCTCACAGATTCATCTCTTACAGGTTTTTTTTTTTTTCTCCTAACAACAGCCAGAGTGATCCTATAAAAATATAAACCCTATCTTGTTACTCCTCTGTTCAAAACTTTCCAGGCATTCAATCATATGAAGCGTAAACAATCTACACCATGGTCTATAGGCTCCATATAATGCTGTGCACCTCTCAAACCACATCTAGTACCATACTACTTACTGCTCATTCACTGTGCTCCTCCTACCTGATCCTTTAGTTCTTGAAAAGTGCCAGTTCATTCTGCTTATTGAATCCCTCTTCCTGGAAGACTCTACTCTGTATGTTTGTCTCTTTAGGATCTTAGCTCAAATGCAATGTCTATAGAGATATCTTTCTAAACCATCCTAGAGTAGCCACGCCATCTCTAAGTTACTATCATCTAACCAACTATATTTTCTCTATAGCATTTACCAGTATGAAAAATTTTTAAATTTTTAATTTTTTTTTCTACCTTCTTGCATCTAAAATACAAACTTTATAAGAGCAGAAACCTTAACTCTCTTGTTAACTGTTGTATTCTCAGTACTTAGAAGAGTGCCTGGCATGAATCAGCATCCCACAGAACTCTATTTCATTCTATAGAAAAAACTGAGATTTAAAGAGTTAATTAAATGAATCGCCCAAGGTCACACAACCAGTAAATAGCAGCTTTGGGGTTTAAGACCTGGCCTACCTCCAAAGCTCGGGTTTTTAATTAATACATCACATTGTTTCACTAAAAATTTTTCAATTTTCCACGTTAACTGTGAGTAGGAATTAAGGCTCAGAGGTCTAATTTTCTAAACTATAAACACCCTCACCACCCAGAAACCCAAAGTGACACCTGCTTCCGCCTGCGTTACGCCACTAAGCCCCGCCCCTGTGGGTTTCTCGAGAGCAGTCTGCGCAGTTAATTGGGTCTCGTGCAAAGAGTACTGGGATTGGTAGGCTACGTTTCTTCTGTCTGCGGCAGTCACATAAAAAGAAATAAACAACAATGCAAATGAGATATCTCTGAACTTCAGACACATTAAATAAGACGCAGATTCTGGAAAGTGGCGCAAACTAGTCTTTCAAACGAGAGGCGCCAGCGTCGGATCAGGCGCTGCGTGGACAGCCGCACGGGTCCTTGGCTGGGCGGGGCTTGCTCGCGGTGGCTTGTGGCTCCTTCCTGTGCTCCTTCCCTCTTTTGCTTAGGCCGGTGGTGTTGGCAGGATGGGTGAGTTCTCCCGGGACAGGTTGTGAGGATCGCAAGGGGCACTTGGGGTCTCGGGGTCGGGCAGGCGAATTGGAGCCGATTGGTGAGGTGGACGCCTCAGGGAGAGAGGGCCGAGGAAGCACCGCTCCTGCAGCACATGGCCGGGCCCCAAAGGGACCCATGCGGCGCAGAGGCCGCGTTGCTCGCGGTCTTGAGGGACGCCGGGTGGCGGAAGCTGCCCCTGAGCATTGGCGCGGTGCTTCAGTGTTTTGGGAAAACGCATCCATTGGAGCGCTTGTGTCCACCTCTTAGCTGGTTCAAAGGAAACTTTGAGGTTTAGGCCATGTGCCAGTATGTGATGCAAGAGCCTACCGGCTTGTACTCCAGGTGAGGTTAGTGTCTTAGAAGGTGTAACAAATGACAGGCATTTTTGCGGCGGAACTAAGGTGAATTTGATTTTTAGGCAAGTGTCGCGGTCTTCGTACTGCAAGGAAGCTCCGAAGCCATCGGCGAGATCAGAAGTGGCATGATAAACAGTACAAGAAAGCCCATTTGGGCACAGCCCTGAAAGCCAACCCTTTTGGAGGCGCATCCCATGCCAAGGGAATTGTGCTGGAAAAAGTGTAAGTGAAATATGCTGCTTCCATCAAGGTTTATTTTAATATGGCAATTCAAGACAACTACATTTAAAGAAGTTGCAATGTAAATTCTAGGTCTTTGCATACTCGCGTTTGTTTGAGAGTAACAAGTATTGAGTAACAAGTAACAAGTATTAAGTAAGGTTTTTAATCTCTTACCATTAGTTTGGAAGGAGTTGAGGTAGGATTGGAGGGGAGAAAGCAATGAAGGGATCAAGCTTAATGCGTGTGGGAACGGTTATAAGCAATTGGTACCCGTCAACTATTTAATCTTTGCAATTACATCTTCCTACCTGAGAAAACTAAGATAAAGAGAGGTTTGTTGCCTGAAGTATACAGCTCAGATTGAGCCACGTGAATTTGCCAGTGCTCAATCGTTTTTGACTTTACAAATGGTAATTTCCTATGGTCCACTACTAGTGGTAGTCAGGATTTAAATCCAGATTTAAATCCATATTTATAAAGGGTCCAGAAATTTCCCTCTGTGCTAATGAAGCTAGAACAGAAAAAGCTTCGTTTAAATCAGGGAGTTTGACCGCTTAGGGTTAGATTGAAAATGTATCCCTTTTCAGAAAGCCAGCTCACTCTTGTACTGTTTGTTTCAGAGGGGTTGAAGCCAAACAACCAAATTCTGCCATCAGGAAGTGTGTCAGAGTCCAGCTCATCAAGAATGGCAAAAAGATCACAGCCTTTGTACCCAATGATGGTTGTTTGAATTTTATTGAGGTAAGTGTTTCAGACTGCTGTAGACTGGTTCAGTCTTTTATTCTTGGAGTAGTTTCCCCCAGTTTTTTAGAGGATGGATGAGTACTTTTAGTGATTGCCACTGACACCAGAAGTAAACTGTTATTTTATTCTAGGAAAATGATGAAGTTCTGGTTGCTGGATTTGGTCGCAAAGGTCATGCTGTTGGTGACATTCCTGGAGTCCGCTTTAAGGTTGTCAAAGTAGCCAATGTGTCTCTCTTGGCTTTATACAAAGGCAAGAAGGAAAGACCAAGATCATAAGTTTCAATGGTGAAAACACAGTAATAATAAATTTTCATATGCCAAAAATAGGTTGTGTCTTATTTTCTTTACCACAGAGATATATGCTTTACCAATTTTAGGAGATTTGGAAAATATTTGATTCAGAGTTCTCTAGAGTAAATGCGATTCACAGTAAAGTTTATCCCCTGCATGTAATAAAATAACAGTAAATCTAGAAGAAATAAATGTACAGCATTCTTGTAAAGAGGACTTAACACTGAATTTCTAGCAGTATCATCTTAGGAATTCTTGATAATGCACATTCTTAGATTCATCTTCCTGGGGACTCAGTATAATAAATACTATCAAGTTCCTTGCTCTTGGTTTTTGAGTATCTAAATCAGGACCCATGTAATTCTGTGTTTATGACAGCAAAATTTACATTGGATCATTCTGTAGATAATTTAATGGAATTAAATGTTTGGCTAAGGCATAGAGGGAAAGTTTATGAGCAAGGGATATTGGATAGAGAAAGACTGATTCTAGTGCTCTGTTCTGAGCTTGTCAGTACCTGATAATTTGTCCTTGAGGTTTACTTTTGGACACAAAAAGTAATGTGCCTCAGACCCAAAAGTGCTTGAAATAGCCTGGTTCTTTCTACCCCTGTGTTTTCCTCCCACTCCACCACCAAGTGGCTCACGCCCCTTCAACCCTGGGTGTAAAATTGAAGCAAAATCCCAGCAACTTTTGTAGAAGTAAGCAAATTTTAAAATTTATGTGGAAAGGCAAAGCCACTAGAATAGCTAAGACAATACTGAAGATGGAGGGATCACAAAACCTGGTTGTAAGATGATTTGTAGCTACAATAATCGAGGGTGTGGTATTGGAGGAGGGAAAGACAGGTCAGTTAAATAGTTTCCATAGACTTATCCATGTGTGGCTGGTTATTGTTGGGTAGAAAAGCAATTCAGTGAGGTAGTCAACACTATAGATTTTCATTTCTGAAAAAAGTTGACTTCGACCTAAATCTTAGAACTTATATAAAAAGTCAAAGTGGATCGTATATCTGAATAAAATGTAAAGCTATAGAACTTGTAGAAGACATGGTTTGAGGTTAGGTAAAGTGATCTTGGGCATTACACCAAAAGCACATTTCACACAAAAGGTAAGTTGGAGTTTATGGGTTATACGCAAACTATTTTTGCAACTTGTGAGTATAAATTAAAAAGTTTTTAATTGCAAATAAGTAGATACTTTGTGTTATCTGATATTTGCCTAAAGAAGCCCCAAATTAAAAACTTGCTCCATGAAAGATCTGGGTGAGAAGATGAAAAGACAAACCAAAGACTGGGATAAACTGCAAGTCATACCCAACAAAGGACTTGTATCCAAAATATATAGAGAACTGTCCAATTTCAAAACAATCCTATTACAAAATGGGCAAGTAAACACTTCACTGAAGAGGTAACAAGCACATGAAAAGATGATCAACATCATGAGCCATTAGGAAAATACAAATTAAAAACACCTGTCAGAATGGCTAAAATTAATAAAATGCCATGTATTGGTGAGGCTGGAGCAACTGGATCTCATAAATTGTTGGTAGGAATATGAAATGTACAGTCACTGGAAAAGTTTGGCGATTTATAAAGTTATACTTAATAACCCAGCAATTGCACTCCTAGGCAGTTATCCTACAGAAATTAAATGTCTACCCACACAAAATCCTCTTTGTGCATGGTTACAGCAACTTTGAGATAGCCAAGAACTGGAAACAACCTAGGTGTCCTTCACTGGGCAACTGGTAGGTACAGCCATAAATGAAATCCTATTCAGTCATAGAAGAAATTACTGTTACATGCAACAGCTTCTATGGATCTCAGTAGTAGCATGCTAACTATAAAAAGCCAACTCGAAAGGTTACATGTGTCCCGTATTTTGTATGTAAAACTCAAAATGGCAAAATTATAGTGATGGAGAAGAAACAAATGGTTGCCAGGGATTTAAGGGATGGGGTAGAGTTGAACTGTATAGCACAAGGGAGTCTGGTGACAACAGGTTTGAGTCCAGATTGTGGTGGCGTTTACACAAATTAATACTTGTGATGGAAGTTCATAGTCCTATGTGCAAAAAATATATAGATATATATACATATATACATAAATAAACGTAAAATACAAGTAAGGTCTATAGTCAATAGCATTGTACCAATGTCAATTTCCTGGTTTTGAAAATATACTTCAGTTATCAAAGATGTTATTTGGGAAAGCTGGGTGGATGTTATACACAACCTACACTATTTTTGGAACTTCTTGTGAATCTTGAATTCTTTATAAAGTTTTTAAAAATTGTGAACGAGTAGTTACTTAATTTGCGTCACCTCATATTTGTCTAACAAAGCCCAAACAAATCATAAACTTAGAGCAGAAAGAATCTAGAAATCACCAGCCCAGTGGTTCTCAAATCCAAGGAATACCAGAATTCCCTAAGGCATCTGCTAGATAACAAACACTGGAACTTTTGGGAAACAATTTTTGCAGTATTTGAAGAGATCTGTCTTTGACAAGCTGTCAGGCCGTCCTTATGCAGTTATCTCTTGCTTTCCTCACTAATGGGGGGTAGGGTGTGGGAGGTGGGTGGCGGGAGAATCAGGAAGCTACTAATCTTACCCAGCCACCTATCTTATAAATCAGAAGTCCGAAAAAGGTAGTTCTTAATTATTGTTGAAATAATTTGTTCAAGTACTCAGCATAGTTGAAATCAGGATGATAGTCTGTCTTCTAAATGAAACTGTTCCTGTAGGGCACCCACCCAATTGCAAACGATAAACACTGCCCTACAGGTAGCTATTTAACGCATAAGTTTACGGTGGGTGTTTAGTAAGAGTATTTTGTGTTTTTTGAAGGGAAGAGAGGTAGTACAAGATGATTAACAAATTTTCTGTGTTTACATGGAAATGTATAAATACTGCAGTTAGTGATATTCTTTTAAAAAACATAAAAAGATGCTCAAGGTCACTATCAGAGAAATGCAC